TTGTGGACTAAAAAGTAGAAAATAACTATTTACATACATTTGATGACAAAAAACGTGGGTACGTTCACCATCAAATTTCCCGACCCATCTGCCCGACCCACGTTTTTTGTCATCAAATGTATGTAAATAGTTATTTTCTACTTTTTAGTCCACAAGAAAAACGTGGTTTTTTTAAAAGTTTTTTTTTAAGTATTTTATTTTCTCCTTTTTAGTCCGTTGCTACACATGAAAAACGTGGTTTTTAAAAAAGTGTTTATAAATACACGGACTAAAAATCTTGAGCGACCAGGATTCGAACCTGGGTTGTCGCGGCCACAACGCGAAGTACTAACCACTATACGATCACGGCCAGCGCGCTCACATCGATTGGGGCCAAAGTAACTGTGTCAATAGGACTGCAGTCTTGTCGGTATCTTTAGAAATCATGTCCTCAATTTTATGGTCCTTGGGGCGTAATTAAATTAAGCTAATTACGGTCACTAATTGCTAGTTTTTATGATTGCATCTGAAATTGTTAGGCGAAAGTAGCATGCATGCCAAATTTCAGGTCTCTAGAGCAATCAGAAGTGGGCTAATTTTCGATGTCAATTTTAACAACAAACAACCAAACAAACAAACGCGAAGCTGAGTTAAGAAAAACGTTTTAAAAAGAACGACTTAATCAAGCAATCATTCTAATATGGTACGCCTAATAAATATTTTCAGTTGGCATAAAAGCTATCGCAGAGATCTTGAGATTTATTGCATACGAGCCGGCCCGCGGCATATCATACCAGAGGCGTAGCGACCCTTCCCGGCGCCCGGGGACAAACTTTCGATTTGGCGCTCCCCTCGGGAGCAAATTTTTAATTTGCACCCCCCCACAAACTTTCGATGTGCCCCCCCCCCCCCCTCAAACTTTCGATTTGCACCCCCCCCCCCCCCTCAAACTATTTATAATGCAAAAATGCAGCTTAAATGACATTTTAATTTGTTTTTACAACCCATTTTGGCGCCCCCTAAGGTCGGCGCCCGGGGACATATGTACCCCCCTGCCCCCCCCCCCCCCCCATCACGACGCCTCTGTATCATACGTCGCTATTTAGTTGTTGTTTTTTCTACTTTTCAGTAATTCATAATTTGTGAATTCGACAGTACCAACGCTGCCACTGAAAATATTACTTTAAAACACTATAAGTAGCTCGTTAAGGACCATAACCCCCACCTTCCTCCCCTCCCTCCCTCCCCTTACGTTTAAAATCGTTTCAAACTAAATTATCTGCCCCTAATAGTCGTCACTAAACCCGGCTCTGCTTGTAAACATTTAGAGTGAACACAGCTCACAAAGACCATGTAGGGGTGGGGTGGTAGGGAGCGGGTTTACAGCTTGTTTTCTAGTGTCTCCCAGAAGAGAATTATAAATATAGATTTTAGCTATCTACACATTTTCCAACGTTTTTTTTTAACTTGCTTTCTCTGTTTGTTTGTTTGTTTTTCCAATCAAATCTTGCGATCAAAATTTCTGGCACTTCCCAGTTAGCTAGCGCGCTGAAATTTTCAGGGAAGCTTTCTTTTGGATGACCATAGAATATTCAATTGTTATTATTACTAAATTGATCAATGGAAACATTTTATTGAGCATTTTAGACCGCTATATAATCTATATATATAATTCTCCTCTGCGAGCCATTAGAAAAAAACGAGCGACGCGTAGCTCGCCTCTCTCTTGCCGCGCGCAGTGAAGCGAACGATCCCACGTCGCGACAGGCTTAGGGGCAGATAATTTAGTTTGAACCGACTTTAAACTTACAGGAGGTAACTATTACCACTGGTGGCCAGTTTGGGGGAGACGATATGGTCGAGTGGTTGGGCACACGATTGCTATCCCACTCGACACGGGTTCAAATCTATGTGTTCTAGTCAGTAACCAGCCCTCGTCCTAACCGCTATCAACTAACCTCTGACAATCATTCACTTGCGATTGAGACCAAAGAAGAAAGGGTCTCTCGTTTTTTACGAGTTGTCTTTTTACGAGTTGTCTTCGTTTACCCAAAAAAAAGTGGAAAGATAAAATCGATAGCAAGATTTCAATGCAAACAAACAGACAAAGACTAAAAAGTAGAAAATAATAATCATTAAAAAAGTTTTAAAAAACCCACGTTTTCTGATTGAACTAAAAAGTAGAAAATAAATACTATACATCACAATAATGCAAGCGATCACTCTACTATAAGCGATGAAAAACGTGGGGCGCCGTGATTTTCTTACAGTTTCTAATACTGTTGACTCTCTACAAGCTCCCTAATAAAAGTCAATAGTATTATCTAATCAATAGTAATATAACTTTTACTTCGGCGCCCCACGTTTTTCATCGCTTATAGTAGAGTGATCGCTTGCATTATTGTGATGTATAGTATTTATTTTCTACTTTTTAGTTCAATCAGAAAACGTGGGTTTTTTAAAACTTTTTTAATGATTATTATTATTAAATAAAATCAAGTGTTATTTTAGAAGTTTTATATTTGTTTTATTTTCCACTTTTTAGTAAATCGTACATAAGCTACGACGAAAAATACTCGGTTTGACAATAGGTACGCTTGCTTAGGGAATAATCGTTTGAGTTATGCGGTCTTTCTCTTTTCATGCATAGTCTTCAGTACATGCAAGCCAGTTCTAGACTAACCGTACACGGTTTTCAGTATATGCATCCATTCCCAGACTGACCACACACGGACATCATGCATCCAGTCCAATACTGATATAAATGTTTTTCTTCTACGAACAAGTGCAGTAGCACAAGAATAATCTTTATATCTTTAGGTGGTTTGTTTCATTATTATATCGCATAATAAGGGTGAGGCTGGTTGTTATACGAGCAATTGTATATAACGCTTTTTACTATTTTAGTCATTCAATTTGTTTAAATGTGTTCTCCGCTCGTTTCTTCATTTTGCTTCATTTCCTGAAGACTTCCAAGAAATGTATGTATATTCAATAGTGCTCCCGTACAAACGGAACTCAAAACATTATATTGTCAAAATAATCCGGATAAAAAATACTGTGTAATCCAATGGATCTACTTTATCTAGAATCTATTCTTCTTTGTTCTTGATTGTATATGTAGGAGATTTCCTCCAACACATTATTACGTGTCAACATGTCATTCGCCATAAAGACCGTTGCCTCCAATTTTAAGACTGCTTTTCTTTATAGATTTCTTTCCAAATCCTTTTTCAATTGAAGAACAAACTACAAGGCAACAGTTCATTGATTTTGGAAATTTTCTAATCCGGGGGTTCAAACTCGGGAGGAACAGGTCATTACCACCCCCCCCCCATCAATTAATCCCCGGACATTCCCCCCCCCCCGCACGACATTACCCCCAGGGGCAATTACCCCCCCCCCCCCCGCCCAGTAGGACATTACCACCCGCACAGGGTTAGGGTTAGGTTTAGGTTTAGGTTTAGGTTTAGGTTTAGGTTTAGGTTTAGGTTTAGGTTTAGGTTTAGGTTTAGGTTTAGGTTTAGGTTTAGGTTTAGGTTTAGGTTTAGGTTTAGGTTTAGGTTTAGGTTTAGGTTTAGGTTTAGGTTTAGGTTTAGGTTTAGGTTTAGGTTTAGGTTTAGGTTTAGGTTTAGGTTTAGGTTTAGGTTTAGGGTTGGGGTTGGGGTTGGGGTTGGGGTTGGGGTTAGAGTTTGGGTTAGGAATAGGGTTAGGGTTAGGGCTATGGCTTGGGTTAAGTTTAGGGTTGGGGTTAGAGTTAGGGTTACGGTTAGGGTTGGGGTTGGGGTTATGGTTATGGTTAGTGTTAGTGTTAATGTTAGTTTTAGAGTTAGCGTTAGCGTTAGCATTAGCGATAGCGTTAGCGTTAGCGTTAGCGTTAGCGTTAGGGTTAGCGTTAGGGCTAGGGCTAGGGTTAGGGTTAGGGTTAGGGTTAGGGTTAGGGTCAGGGTTAGGGTTAGGCTTTAAAAACAATATCTAGCCTTGGTTTTGGTTTTGTGTTAAGGTTTAGGCTGAGCTGAATGCTTAGGTTTTGCATTTTTTCTTAAGGTTAGGATTAAGGTAATATATAAGTATAGAATTTGAGTTAGAGTTAGGATTCTAACTTGAGGTGGGGGGGGGGTGTATTGGACGGGGTTGGGGGGTAATGTCCTGTAGCCCGAACTCGAAACATTATACGAACTAGATCCTTGAACTTACAATCTGCAAGACAGGAAGAGTTGACCAATGATGAGGGTAAAACATGCCCGATGTATGGGCTTACATTTTAGTGCATTTTCTTTACATTCGCTCGTTTTGTGTCGATTACTTATGAGCTATTAATTAAAATATGCTTGTTAACTGCACTGTTTTCATGTCAACATCAACTCGTCTATGTCAACTTCAGTATGTCCTTGTCAACTTATGTGCCCGCGTCAACGTTTGTTAACAATTTCAACATAAACGCGACCATGTTATATTTTCTAAATTATTGGCTTTTTTTTTTTTTACGCTTATCTTAGTGAACGCCGAGACTTACTTCCAGTTACAGCCAGTACTACAAGCTTAATCTTCCTGGTATTTCGTCCTGGTAGTTTCCCCTTCCTCTTTAAGTTATGAGAACACTTTCATTCAACTATTTATTTTATTGGTTTACATTACCTTAAAACGTTACGCATTCTACCTCCTGGATTAAAATTTGAAACTCCACATTAAAATTTATTGCAATTGAAGCTCTTGAAAGTATAGACCGGGTAAGGTTATTATATATATATATATATATATATATATATATATATATATATATATATATATATATATATATATATATATATATATATATATATATATATATATATATATTCTTTAAAGATTTAGGTATCCTCGATATCTAAAGTGCTATAAACGCTGTGAATGTTATTGTTTTGCAGTTGTTTTCGCCAGTTTACTTTTTGTTACTGTAATGTTATCAGCAGGGCAATAATACGTATGTGGTTTAACATCTTTTGAAAGATAACGGTGTTATCTTATCGTCCACCTATCAAGTTTTTATCGTCCATCTATCACGTTTTTATCGTCCGTCTATCAAATTTTAGTGCAGGACAAACGTGTGGCTCCACAGCATAACTGTACCGGGTGGATTTTTTCTTTGATGAGGTTTGTGTTCATAGTAATGTTACCCACAGCATCTTTTGAATATTTTGATTTGTAGTCATGAGGCTGATATCGTGTTTGAAGTGTCAACTTGTTATGCGCCATATAGTCAATATAGTCAGTTGTCTCCGATTTCAGCCTGCTTTTCTTTTTGGATTTGCTTCCGTAGCCTTTGTCCAACCAAGAACAAACTACAAGGCAGCAGTTGTTTAGTTTTGGAGTTGTCGCTCCTAGAAAAGTTGATGTCCCCAGCTGTCGGACCTCATCTAGGGTTCGAACTCGAGACTTTTCAGTGTTGCAACTATGAGCGTAACCGAGTCGACCATAGCATGTTCTAAAAAACGTTTTTTTTAAAAATATATTTATGAATTAACTTGTCGATATGTGCATGTGTTGATTCTTGTTTCTGAAGGTTCGTTCTGACTTGGTAAAGAGGATGGAGAAGGGGTGGGTGGTAGAGTTTCGTATATCACAGTGTAGAGAATCTGTTCACACGTATCTCAGATATAAAGTTTAAGTAGTTTTGACATTTTATATCATCAAACGTGTACTTAACCTGTACAATACAGGGCTCTGATCATTAGATCAAATTTCATTTTTGGTCGAAGGCCAGACTTATCTGAAGTATAATGTTTATCTTATCAAAAATAATCAAGGCTAATTAAATTGGCTCACTCAGATTAAATAATACTATTTTGAGACTATATAATTAAAAATAAATTACAAAATGTTAATATTTTAATTTTATATTATAAGTCATAAGAAGACACACTAGGATTCACATTTAAACGCTGCACTAAAACACATTTTTAAAGCCCTTGTCGAACACCAAGTAGATTGGCAGGTATCAAGTAGATTGGCAGGTATCAAGTAGATTGGCAGGTATCAAGTAGATTGGCAGGTTTAAAGTAGATTGGAAAGTATCAAATAGATTGGCAGGTATCAAGTATATTGGCAGGTATAGATAGAACTGAAACATCTAGAAAATCTAGTAGTCAAATGTGTATTTAATTGCAGGTTCTTCTTTCGTAACTTGAAGTAGAATGTCTAACCTATGGTCTATAACACAGAGTTTTGAATGTGTGTTTGTTAGGGCGGTGAGGAGGGGTGGGGGAGGGGTGGGCTTAACTTGTGTTTGGGGTTGTTGTGAGTTGATTGCTATAATTTGGGGTGGGTGACGACACGTATCAATGTGTACTGGGGTTGGTAGAGTGGGCTGGTGTAAGTGACTTTATTAAACTTCGGATTTTAAAAGATCAACAAAATATTATTCAGCTGATTTTTCGTACTAGTGTGTTTGACAATGTAATCTTCGAAAATTGTAAGTTAAGTTAATACTCTTAGTTTAGGATGTAATACCAGAGATATGGTTTATGGGGATGTGGTTAATGACATTCACATAGTCATTATTAATTAATATTTCCCTTAACTACTAACGACATAATAGACCCCCTCTTTAGAAGTTTCCATTTACGTATACATATATCTATCTCTCTCTCTCTATATATATATATATATAAAGCAATGTATGTCTGTCTGTGTGTCTGTTATGCATTACTACACCTCTCATCACATCGCCGTAAAACTTTGGGAAGTTGTTGAGAAAATTCCTGGAAAGGTTTCTGCGAGAAAAAAAATTCAAATTCGCAGGGGTGGGGCCCCGGCAGAACGCAATTTTTTCTCTCTATATACGGTTTATAAAAATAAAAGTAGATTTTGGTTTGACACCATTCATCCGATCGCCATCAAACTTTGAAGATTTCATTAGAACACTCTGGGGAAGGGTTCTGTAAAAAAGTCATTTCTAATTTCGCAAGGGCGGCGCCAAGGGAGAGTGCGATATTTCTCTACATGTGGTATATAAAAATAATAAAAGTGAATTGCAGTGACACTATTCACACGATCGCCGGCAGGATGCGATTTGGCGCCCTGGTCTTTACCGTGAGCGCTATGGCGACTACGTTCGGTCTAAACAGTGTGATAGACAATGGATAGGATGGGGCGTTACAAACGCTCACTAAATTGAATCAGGCGTGTCCGCCGGCGCCCTGGTAGGGTGCGATTAGCCTGCAAACAAAAATTTCAGTTTCGGCCCCCAAAGGCTCACATGGGCCGCTGAGGGCCATGTAATACGTTTTATTTTAATAATCAGAAAAATTAACCAATGTTAGATTATTAACTGGGATGTTTCTTTTGTCCGTAAAAAATCCAAACAGTTGAGTCACTTTGCAAATGATACAATTAGCATCTATTTTTAGACAATCCAATCAGAAATTGAGATCGAGCATCTAATAATAGACCATTAGTAACGCTAACATATTGCATCAGTCACACTGATGTTTAAAACACGTCAAATAATTTTTTTACGTGTTAAAGAAAAAATCCTGTTCGTTTGTCACTTTAGCAATCTGCATGATTGTTAACAGGATGCTATTTGGCACTCTGGGTTATCCTATGAGCACGATGGCGCCTGATAGGTTTAAGGACCCAGGGATCGTACGCGGCGCCTATGCGGCAGTGTAATCGGGGGGGGGGGGCTCCTGAGAGTGCCCCTCTACGTCACCGAATTGTGTTCTACCTCATTATTGCGGTGAGTGATTAATGTACACTCAGGGTTTTCATTCGGTAGTGTAGGTAAACCCGTGTCCCGATATTTATGATCCAAGCGCAGGCATTGTTTACATTTAAATAGCTCACTTTTAGAAAACAAGGTTACGCGTCTAAAAATATAGGATTGGTAACGAATGGATGAAACCCTTTTTATATATTCCGTCGGACTTTCTTCTATTCCCGCGGCAACGTGAGGGGACGGGTACGCTAGTATATATATATATATATATATATATATATATATATATATATATATATATATATATATATATATATATATATATATATATATATATATATATATATATATATATATATATATATATATATATATATATATATATATACATTGTGCCCTTCCTTGTGTTAAGTATGATTCACATTATTGCTTACATTGTTGCTTACAGGAGCGCTTGAATGGCGTGCTTCCCAGGCATGTTAATTAGACTTCTGCTGACGGCCATTTTGCTTTTGCACCTCGGCGCGTCATACCACGGGTCAAGGTTGAACAGAGTGCTGAAAGGTCAGGGGTCAGTGGATCCGGAAGTGTACATGACAGCGGTAAGCGAGCTTATGTGATGCGTATCTTTCCACTACCCCGGCAGACATAGGGCCGTGCATTTTTAGCGCAATTTCCATTCTGGAGAATTGCGTTTATTAACTCGTCAAGGATGGATGGATGGATGTCCGCAGCTTTAAGTCGTATCTCCTCCTCAACGAAGCAATATCGAGGACTAATTTCAAAAGCAAAAATGTTAAGCAAAATCCGAGGATGATTGTGGGCCAAAACAATTCCCGGAATTCCCTCCTGGATTTCCCGGAAAAGCAACAAAAAAAAAAACTCGAAAAAATGCAGTTTTTAGCGACTTGAAACATTTACCAATCGATTCCTGCCATAATTTAGAACAATATTGCCGAAGAAAGTTTTCAAAAATATCCTTTCGTTCTGTCACAATTTTTTTCAATTACAATATACATAATATAATACATTACAGTACTATATAGCAAAATCGGCAGTGGAAGGCGAAGGAGGACGAGGGTAAATCATGTGACCTGGCTGGCTTAGCAGCGAACTGCGCGGGCTGGCTTAGCAGCGAACTGCGCGAGACGCAGGCGAAGGAGGAGGATTCATGTGACCTGGCTTTGTCCCCGTGTGTGCTTTACGCTACGACAGAGCTATTTTTAGATAACATAAGGACATTGCCCTTAAATTGTCACTAGACTTTTTAATAACTTGTTTTATGAACGATGGCGACAATCTATGCTAGTCACACAATGGCGGCCACACTATGGTGGCCCCACAACGGGGGGGGGGGGGGGGGGGTATAAGAAGCGTTATAAAAACTGAATCAACGTTATTTTAAACAAATAATGGAGTATTACTTTAACCAGTGTCAGAAAGTTTACTAAAAATGTTTTCAGTTTTAGCAGAATTGTAATGTAAGTTTCAATGTAAAGTTCATACAATCAGGGCTTAAGAGTCTGATAGGATTTGGTTTAGAGTTTGTGTTAGGAATGGAGTTGTGGGGTTCGCTTTGAAATCAACAGGTTATATTAGCTTATAGTTTCCTACCATTTAACTACAACCCAATTTTAAGAAGATTCCAATATAGTGTCATTATGACACACTGATCTAGCACTTGCATGTGTATCATATTGGTCACGTGATCCTGCCCCCCCCCCCCACCCCCACAGACTGAGCTGATCACGAGCAAAGGCTACCCCTGTGAGAACTATTACGTCAACACAGATGACGGTTACATCCTCAACACACTGCGGATCCCACACGGCAGAAACAGCAGCCATATTAAAGGTGAGCGCATTACAGTGTAAACACAATCTAATATATAAAGCTCAATTCTGTATGTAACATGTAATAAGTTTGTCGTTGACATACTTCCATGTATTTAAGTGTTAGAGTATTATCGTGCTCATAGTCTAAATTTATGAGTTAAAAATTACTATTGACAGTGTTGGGAAATAATTTTCATTTTTCAAATTCTAATTATGTCTGAAAATTATTTATATTTAGTCCTTTAACATTTACTTCCCTTTGATAAATTAGGAAAAAAAAATTACTTCCCTTTATAAAACATTGCATTAGTGGAAAAGAATTTACTTTTTATTACTTTGTTTTGGTGTTGGGAAAAAAATAATTACATAATTAGCGGGGATTGATCAAGTGCAAATGTTGTAGGTATTTTACGGATAAGCTTGGAGTATTATAATTGTTCATTTGGTTTGGTTTGGCACCTACGTTCGTTTAAGTGAGTGCAAAAGACTATGAATAAGTTGGGGTACTATAGTCGTTTATTAAGCTGAAACAGGCGATTCTGCCCCGGGGTAGACTGTGAGCAACTTTGCGTTTATGTTCGCGTTTGTGTTTTCTTTGTGTTTAGGTTGGGTTTGCGTTAGTGGTTGCGTTTTGATTTGGTTTGTTTTTGTTCGTTCTTTTTTCGTTTTCGTTTGTGTTTTTTTCTTTGGGTTTGTATTTGTGTTTGTGGTTGGTTTTGCGTTTGGATTTGGTTTGTTTTCGTTTGCTTTTTCGTTTGTGTTTTTTTCTTTGGGTTTGTGTTTGTGTATGTGGTTGGTTTTGCGTTTGGATTTGGTTTGTTTTCGTTTGCTTTTTCGTTGTTTTTTTTATGTTCGTATTGGTGTTTGTGGTTGTGGTTGGGTTTGTTGTTAGGTTTGTTGTTTGCTTTTTTGTTTGTTTTTTCTTTGTGTTTGTATTGGTGTTTGTGGTTGGGTTTGTTGTTAGGTTTTTGTTTTCGTTTGTATTTGTAATTGTGTTAGCGTTATGTTTGCGTTTTGTTGTTTTGATTTTGGTTGGTTGTGGTTTGGGTGGGCAATGCCGGGTTTATGATGATTACTAAACACACAGGTAATGGTCTTTAACAGAAAGGTTTTTCACAGAAGCCAGAGCAGGGCCTCGCCGGGACGGCAAGTATGCATATAAAGATGATACTTTAGAAACTATTTCAGTTCAATTCTATACAAGATTTACTTGCATTCGTGTAGACAAGTATGGACAAACGAGCATTAATTGATTATCTAGACATAATTATCAAGTATGAAGAAATCATAATGAGTTCTATGCACAAGGGTATTAAAGTTTGATTATTGGTTGTGAATACATATGTATTTGTATGTACCCGTGAATAGTGGCATACGTGTACATTAAATCTTTTTGTAGATTATGTACATTCAATCTTTGTATACACATAGGTATGTACATAAATCTGGGTGTACACATATAGACATTAAATCTTTGTTTGTGTAGATATGTATGTACATTAAATCTTTGTGTACAAATATGTGTACATTAAATCTTTACTCTCTAACTTGCTGTAGGACCACGCCCAGTGGTCGTACTACAGCATGGCTTTCTGGGAAGCTGCACCAACTTCCTGTCCAATCCAGCCAATGAGAGCCTCGCTTACATCCTGGCGGATGCTGGGGCTGACGTCTGGATAGGAAACAGTCGCGGCACCATCTACTCCACCAACCACACACACCTGGACCCTAAGGAAGATGCATTCTGGGAGTTCAGGTAACAAGTTCTGGGAGTTCAGGTAACATGTTCTGGGAGTTCAGGTAACATGTTCTGGGAGTTCAGGTAACATGTTCTGGGAGTTCAGGTAACATGTTCTGGGAGTTCAGGTAACATGTTCTGGGAGTTCAGGTAACATGTTCTGGGAGTTCAGGTAACATGTTTTGAAAGTTCAGGTAACATGTTCTGGGAATTCAGGTAACATGTTCTGGGAGTTCAGGTAACATGTTCTGGGAGTTCAGGTAACATGTTCTGGGAGTTCAGGTAACATGTTCTGGGAGTTCAGGTAACATGTTCTGGGAGTTCAGGTAACATGTTCTGGGAGTTCAGGTAACATGTTTTGAAAGTTCAGGTAACATGTTCTGGGAATTCAGGTAACATGTTCTGGGAGTTCAGGTAACATGTTCTGGGAGTTCAGGTAACATGTTCTGGGAGTTCAGGTAACATGTTCTGGGAGTTCAGGCAACATGTTCTGGTAGTTCAGATAACATGTTCTGGGAGTTCAGGTAACATGTTCTGGGGGTTCAGGTAACATGTTCTGGGAGTTCAGGTAACATGTTCTGGAAGTTCAGGTAACATGTTCAGGGAGTTCAGGTAACATGTTCTGGTAGTTCAGGTAACATATTCTGGGAGTTCCGGTAACATATTTTGGAATTCATATAACAAAGATTATACTAAGAGTTCAGGAAAGAATGTTCTTTGAGCGGGAAGATTTCTTGAAAGGCCGTGAGTTTTCGGATTGAAAATGAAAAAATCAGTCTAGTATATAAAGTTAAATTCTGTATGTTTGTTTGTAAGATGTATGTTTGTCGTGGATTCCACAGGATTATAAGATAATACGATACTTCTATTGATTCAAGTGTTAGACGTCTAAAGTGCTCATGGTCTAGATTTATGAGTTAAAAAATTAATATTGAAAGTTTTTAAAAACAATTTTCATTTTGCATACTTAAAATAATAATTTTCAATATGTACATTACATAAAATTAAAAAATATATATATCAACGTTTATAAAATTTCTAATTGTGTCTAAAAATTATTTGCATTTAGTCCTTTAGCGCTCATTACGTCCCTTGATTAGGAAAACACAGTCACTTCCCTTTAAAAAAAAACATTACATTGGGGGAAAAGAATTTACTTTTTATTACATTGTTTTCGTGTTCGGAAAAAATAATTACATAATTAGCGGGGATTGATTAAGTGCAATGTTGTTGGTATTTTTAATACTGCCTTTTTTAATTCCATACACTGAACGTACTGTTTTCTTATTATTATTTTTATTCAAAGACAGGTGAAGTAACAAAATACATCTTTATTCGGGAACGGGAATTCCCGTTTTGTCTGTCTTTTTTTGCGCACGAAGGGGAATTCATTTTTGTCGGTCGCACCAGAAAGCTCTTTTATAGACACCTGCACCAAAATACAAGATGATATACCTGTTGATATAATACTAGCTGTCCCGAATTGTGTTATGTTTGTGTTGTGTTTGTTGTGTTTGTGTTGTGTTTGTGTTGTGTTTGTGTTGTTTGTGTTGTGTTTGTGTTGTGTTTGTGTTGTGTTTGTGTTGTGTTTGTGTTGTGTTTGTGTTGTGTTTGTGTTGTGTTTGTGTTGTGTTTGTGTTGTGTTTGTGTTGTGTTTGTGTTGTGTTTGTGTTGTGTTTGTGTTGTGTTTGTGTTGTGTTTGTGTTGTGTTTGTGTTGTGTTTGTGTTGTGTTTGTGTTTGTGTTGTGGTTATGTTGTGGTTGGGTTTGCGTTTGGATTTGGTTTGTTTTCGTTTGCTTTTTCGTTTGCTTTTTCTTTGTATTTGTGTTTGTATTTGTGTTTGTGGTTGTGGTTGGGTTTTTTGTTAGGTTTTTTTTCGTTTGTGTTTATATTTGTAATTATGTTTGCGTTATGTTTGCGGTTTTTTTGGGTTGGTTGTGCCGGGTATATGATGATTACTAAACATGTAATATTTCTGATAGGTTTTTCACAGAAGCCAGAGCAGGGCCTGGCCGGGACGGCTAGTTAATACTAAATTTTTATACGACAACAACTTTACCGTGTTTTGCATAATGTGGCCAGAGCAGGGCCTGGCCGGGACGGCTAGTTAATACTAAATTTTTATACGACAACAACTTTACCGTGTTTTTCATAATGTGGGATATTTTTCTCTATCAAATCTTGTATATCCATACACTTATACTCTACAGCAGATGTACCTTGTTCTATGTATTCAGCAAATGCACGTAAAAAATGTGTAATTTGTTTTATGTGCCTATGTCTGTTCTAAAATAAAATATTATTTTTTGTATGGCAACTATGGGTTATGTTACATTTTTTTTGTATGACCCATGTGAATCAAACTAGAGAAATATATGTTAAATATTTAGGTTTTCCTCTGCAGTTGAGGTCCACTATTTGAGAAATTGCCTCCGACTTACCGACATTAAGAGATAAATTGTACTCATTGTATTTTTTAACTCAATAAAACACTTTATCAACAGTGTGGTCAAATAGAGTATTTTTGTTTATTGACAACATTTAGCTGACCATCGACTTTTTCCTGTGTACTCCCCAGCTGGGATGAGATGGCCAAATACGACCTTCCTGCTATGATCTACTTTATCCTGGCCAAGACTGGAGTAGATCAAGTCTACTACGTTGGCCACTCACAGGGAACTACTATTGGTTTTGCGGAATTCGGAGAAAATCAGGAACTGGCCTCCCATATAAAACATTTTATAGCCATGGCGCCTGTTGCGCAAGTATGGAACACCGAATCGCCCATAAAGCTGCTTGCACCTTTTGCTAAAGATATTGGGGTAAGGCTTCCATTGCTTCAGAGGTGCCCATTAATGACGTCATACTTTTCTGTAGGTAGAATAAGACTTAAGAGTCGATCGATTGGGCTAAAAAAAAAATCTGAACGCATTTTTGAAAAATGTTTTTTTTTTTTTAATTATTGTAAAGATTGATTAATTTAAAATATCGTGTAAAAGTCCAGTTAATGTTTTAAAAAGGGTGGAAGGAAAAGGCTGATTAAAAAAAGAAAATGTTGCATTGGAGGTTGGGAGTAAGGTTAAAGTGTGACGTCATTGTAAAGGGAGGGAGTTTCAGGTTTGTATGATGTTGTGTGAAGAGAGGATGTGGATAATTAAAAAACCAATCGTGACGTCATTTATAGACTACACTTAAGCACCGAAGCCTCAGAGCATAGGAGTCTCAAGTGCCGCAACCCTCCCCCTCCACCGGAGAAAATTATCTGAAAGAAACAATGCTCTTATCAGAAGTTGACATTTACGTGAACTGTTCAACTATACATGTATATTATTATAGAATTGGTTGTGGAAAACGCGGCTTGAATTCAAACGCAACCTTGCTATAGCATCAAGCCTAACTTAAGGGTTAGACTATTTGACCCAAACACAACATTGATTTTGCATCAGGCTTAGACTTATGTTAGCTTATAATTCAGCAACATGAAATTGTACTATAGCTCAACGAATCATCCAATGCCCTGATTTCTTCCCTGTCCAGGTTTTTCTGACGTTGTTTGGCCACGGTAAATTCAACATTGAGCCGTCAATCATGCGGCTCCTGGCCGGGAACCTGTGTAACACCTGGGGGAACCTGCTGTGTGAGAACGTTCTGTTCCTGCTAGGAGGTTACGACTTTCAGTCATTGAACAAGGTAATCTCCCTCATTAAACAAGGTAATGTTCACATTGTATTGTTAGTTCTGTCCGTCATTAAATACGGTAATGTTCACATTGTATTGTTAGTTCAATCCGTCATTGAATGAGATAATTCTCTAATCATAACGTCTGTTCTGTCCCTCATTGAATAAGGAAATGCTCCCATTGTAAAGCGGTTTTTATTCAAGTGCCAGTATATTGGAGGACCCAGAAGTTGAATGTGAGACTGTGTACCTCACTCTCCCGCAAAAAAAAAAAAGAAAAATGAGTTAATGTGCCGAGACCTTTAACCTTCCTGCTCAATGGGACCTATTTTTGACATGTTAACATTCTAATGTTATCGTCATCGATATGCTGTTGATGTCAATGTTGGTCGATGTTGGTCGATGTGTTGTTCAATGTGTTGGTCCATGTGTTGTTCAATGTGTTGGTCCATGTGTTGGTCGATGTGTTAGTCAATGTTGGTCAATGCTGGTCGATGTGTTGGTCCATGTTTTGGTCCATGTGTTGTTCGATGTGTTAGTCAATGTTGGTCAATGCTGGTCGATGTGTTGGTCCATGTGTTGGTCCATGTGTTGTTCAATGTGTTAGTTAATGTTGGTCGATGTGTTGGTTGATGAATTGGTCGAAACAAAGACTTGCTCATTGAAGTGACTATACATAACAACACACAGTACACACTTCAGAGGGCACTCGGTGTCCTGTGACGTGTTGTAAATAGCCGAAAACTAAACCAATCTGAAAGTTATCTGTAACTTATGACAGAACGTTACCAATACTTTACATGGACATTTACGCTAGAAATTCAACACGAGGTACCAAAATATAACTTGACTTGACTCAAAGTCTAACAAGTGGCGTCGCTAGGTCGGCCGTGACCTGGGTGCGACACTTCGTGGTGTCACCACCCCCCCCCCCCCCCGAAACAAAGTATATATGTGTGTGTACGTGTGTCTCGGTCAACATAGGCCTATAATTTAAATAAATGTCACATATGCGTACATATAGAAGCTTCAATCACTGCAGACGTAATGGTAACGATGTTTATCTATAGTAGGTTAATAATACAGTTGGATGTAGCTTTGTTTTTTTTTTTATAGTTAGCACGATAACGTCATGGTGGTTCACCCCCCCCCCCTTTGTAATAATTGTCGATTTGTATTTATAAACTTTAATTAATCACTACTGGATTAAAAGCATTTTTCTTCTGTACATTTTGCAATTTTTTGCATTGGTGTCAACCCCCCTCCCTAAATGGTGTCACCGGGTGCAATCAGCACCCACCGCCCCGCCCTTTCTACGCCTCTGGTCTAACCAAAATATAACTTTACTTGACTCAAAGCCTACCGAAAATATAACTGTTAATAAATATACATTCTAACCAAAATATAACTTTTTTTACTAAAAGTCTAACCAAAATATAACCGTTAATAAATTTAAAGCCTAACCAAAATATAACTGTTGATAAATTTTAAGTCTAACCGAAATATAACCGTTAATAAATTTAAATCCTAACCCAAATCTGATCATCTCCACAGAGCCGTATCCCTGTGTACGTGGCGCATAACCCAGCGGGTACCTCCGTGAATAACGTCTTACACTGGGCTCAGGTGAGTAGTGAGTGACGTCTTACACTGGGCTCAGGTGAGTTCTTGTGACGTCTTACACTGGGCTCAGGTGAGTAGTGAGTGACGTCTTACACTGGGCTCAGGTGAGTTCTTGTGACGTCTTACACTGGGCTCAGGTGAGTAGTGAGTGACGTCTTACACTGGGCTCAGGTGAGTTCTTGTGACGTCTTACACTGGGCTCAGGTGAGTTCTTGTGACGTCTTACACTGGGCTCAGGTGAGTAGCGAGTGACGTCTTACACTGGGCTCAGGTGAGTTCTTGTGACGTCTTACACTGGGCTCAGGTGAGTTCTTGTGACGTCTTACACTGGGCTCAGGTGAGTTCTTGTGACGTCTTACACTGGGCTCAGGTGAGTTCTTGTGACGTCTTACACTGGGCTCAGGTGAGTTCTTGTGACGTCTTACACTGGGCTCAGGTGAGTTCTTGTGACGTCTTACACTGGGCTCAGGTGAGTAGTGAGTGACGTCTTACACTGGGCTCAGGTGAGTTCTTGTGACGTCTTACACTGGGCTCAGGTGAGTTCTTGTGACGTCTTACACTGGGCTCAGGTGAGTTCTTGTGACGTCTTACACTGGGCTCAGGTGAGTTCTTGTGACGTCTTACATTGGGCTCAGGTGAGTTCTTGTGACGTCTTACATTGGGCTCAGGTGAGTTCTTGTGACGTCTTACACTGGGCTCAGGTGAGTTCTTGTGACGTCTTACACAGAGCTCAGATGAGTAGTAAGTAACGTCTTACATTGGGCTCGGGTGAGTAGTGTCTGACGTCTTACATTGGCCTCAGGTGAGTGTGACGTCTTACATTGGCCTCAGGTGAGTGTAACGTCTTAAACAGAGCTCAGGTGAGTTCTTGTGACGTCTTACACTGGGCTCAGGTGAGTAATAAATGACGTCTTACACTGGGCTCTGTTGAGTACATGTAACGTCTTACACTGGGCTCAGGTGAATAGTGTCTGACGTCTAACATCAGATGAGTGTGACGTCAAAGAAAGAGCCACATGTATCAATAGTTTGGAGCATACAATTAGCTCAAAGTTTTAGTAAAACATTTAGAGTAAAAACATATACGTTGTCTTTATTATTGGTCAAATTAAACACGCTTGCATTTTTTTCATAGAATTATTAATAAGTTTGATCGAAAGTTTTTTTTTGAAACTATGAAATTGTGTGTCCATCTTGCAGGCTATAAACTCCAAAAACTTCCAATATTTTGACTATGGCTCGATACAACTCAACATTAAGCACTATGGCCAGGTAAATTACTCTTGTATTGGATACTTTGGCTTGGAGAGAAATATAACTTCTTAGTTAGGTACTAGTCGTGTTATTGCTTGAGGTTGTAGCAGTGGAGAGACGCGTTTGTATACATGTACATTTGGTTTCTTCTTCATGTGTTAGAGGATACCTCGACATGCCAATCCAGTAAAATAAAATCATTCCGATTTACGTTGGTAATGATGGTGGTGGAGGGGGTAGGGGGGGGGGGAGTTTTCACCGATCACTGATCTTTGACGGGATATATTTTACTGTTGCACAATCGAGTAAAAAAAACATTTATATCAGTTTGTAAATCCATGTAGCTTTCTATTTTCTTAACTTCGACTGTGAATAATTCAGTATTACATCTGAAATAGATTTTTTAACATCTTTTTGACGCCCTTCTTACTGTCGGCGCCCTCCTACGGTAAATTTAGTGTCCGCTTTCCCCTCCCCCCACCCCGAGAAAAAACCTGAAAGAAACATTGGCCCCATACGCTCTCCCCTAGATACGCCTCTGTTGTGATAGATAGACCAATGGCTGAAGAGATCCAGATCACGTGTAACTCTCTTGTTGCAGCCCACCCCGCCCTTGTATGACCCCAAGAAGGTCAAGGTCCCCGTGGCTGTTCTACGAGGTGACCGGGACTGGCTTGCTGACCCCACGGACATCGCCTGGCTCCTCCCACAGATCCACGTGACCCATGACGTCAGAATACCCCACTACGAGCACCTAGACTTTATCTGGGCGTTCGACGCCCCAGCACTGATCTACAACACGATTCTAAACATTGTCTTCTCGCGATAACCCTACAGTAGAAATAAAGTTGTCTGTGTATGTTTTCGTCTTGATCTATTTGTTAATTAAAGATTTGACTAAGTGATTTGTGCTAATATAAAACCCTTGCGATTCCTAATCATCAAGCTCATCGAGTACAAACTGTACATGTATATCGTATTATCTGCAACCTGAGGTACAGTTGTCTACAACAGACTGATAGTGTTGCTAAATCTGACCACAAGGGTCACTGGACCCCAAGGGTTACTTGACCACATGGGTCACTTGATCGTAAGGGTAATTTGACCAGACGGGTCTTTGACAACACGGTTTATTTGACCATACGGGTCACGACCACAAGGGTCACTGGGCCTTATGGGTTACTTGGCAACAAATACTCACTTGGCAACATGGGTCTTTTCACCGTATGGGTCATTTGACCTTAAGGGTAATTTCACCTTAAGGGTCATTTGACCACACGGATCATTTGACCGCACGGGTCATTTTACAACACGGGTTATATGGCCATACGGGTCAAAACCACATGGGTCACTTGGCCATAACGGTTACTTGACCACAAGAGACATTTGACCGTAAGGGGCATTTGGCCACACAGGCATTTTGGCCTTACGGGTCAAGAACACACGGGTCACTTGGCCTTTACGGTTACTTGACCACAAGGGTCATCTGACGGCAATGGTCATTTGACAACACGGGTCACTTGACCACACCGCTACCTGTTCACATACTTATCCAATCAAGTGATTAGGTGATTGTGACCCTTATGGTGCCTGATTAAGTCTCTGGTTAGACAGGGCCCTTATAATTCCGGACACTGATGTAGCGGGTACACCTACATGAAGCCACACTAAACAACCAGCGCTAAACAGCACACCCACTGATACTCAATGTAAGATATTAGCCAGTTTTGAAAAAGTAATAATTTATTCATTAAATTAATACATCAAATTCTGTTACTCGGAGGTACAATTGATACAGTTACTTCTTTTATTGTTATATATCACAATCATATATAAGGAAAAAAAATGGTTATATGAAGGTATGTAGTGACGGTAGACATACAGCCAACGTTATGAACTTAGGCAAATCTATTACTCTGTTACAAGCTTCGTAAATTTTTTTGTTGATATATATATTTACATTAGGCGCGTATTAAGTTTTACATACATTGGTAATACATGGGGGGAGGGGGGGGGGGGTGAAGGTCATTTAAGGAGGGTAATCAAGAGGGTGAAGATGGAGAGCCATTTAAAGATGGTAAGGATGGAGGGCCATTTAAAGATGGTAAGGATGGAGGGCCATTTAAAGAGGGTAAGGATGGAGGGCCATTTAAAGAGGGTAAGGATGGGGGCCATTTAAAGAGAGTGGAGAAGGAGGGCATTTAAAGAGGGTAAGGATGAGGGCCATTTAAAGAGGGTAAGGATGGGGGCCATTTAAAGAGGGTAAGGATGGGGGCCATTTAAAGAGGGTAAGGATGGGGGCCATTTAAAGAGGGTAAGGATGGGGGCCATTTAAAGAGGGTAAGGATGGGGGCCATTTAAAGAGAGTGGAGAAGGAGGGCATTTAAAGAGGGTAAGGATGAGGGCCATTTAAAGAGAGTGGAGAAGGAGGGCATTTAAAGAGGGTAAGGATGAGGGCCATTTTAGAGGCTGATGAAGAGGTCTAAAATAGAAAATAATTTGTTTTTATTGATAACAAAATCAATAATTTAGAACAAAGTAGACTTAAAAGAGGATTTAATGGGGAAGGGGGGCGACTCTTGATATAAAAAAAGAAAGTTATTGTGGGTTTATTTTCTTTCTTCTTGATTTTTTTTTTTTTTTTTTTTTTTTTTTTTTTTTTTTTTTTTTTTTTTTGCTAACGAAAAAAGCTTTTTAATGTAAGCAGCATATTCACTTGTTTTACTGGTAATATAAATTCTATAAATAGAATAATAAACGATCACACGTTTGAGGTATAGGTCCGCTTCGTTCATCATTCACAAGTTTATGGATGTGTTAGTGTAGAAGATGTTAAACCGCTAAAAGTGCTACCCTTCCTGTGGATGTAGTATAGACAAGTGCCGTGGTTCCACTTGAGTGCTGAGGTTTTAAGTTTGTGTCGAGATGTTAAGTGATGCGTAACGTGATAAACATTGTAAGTTGCATTACTTTAACATTGTCTAATGGCCACCCATTGGTTTAATGGCCACCTACTGGTTTAATGGCCACTTACTGTTGTAATGGCCACCCACTTGTCTAATGGCCACCCAATGGTGTAATGGCCAGCCTTTAGTGTAAGGGCCACCCACTAAGTCCGATGGCCACCCATTGGTTTAATGGCCACTTGCTAGTCTAATGGCCAGCCTTTAGTGTAAGGGCCACCCACTAAGTCCAATGGCCACCCACGAACCAACAATTTTGGCCACATTCCTCAATCAACACAAGACACTACGCCGCTGCCCAGATACCGATGAGCCAAAGATTGCAGGATATTGTCAGCTAGATCTTTAAGATGTGCGTGGTGATGTAGAACTGGCTCATTAGGATGGGGTTTATCCTTAAATGACAGACAGTCATGTACATTTCAACACTTAAATGTCTAATTTTAAATGCCTTATATTTCTTTTGTATCACAATTATTTTTTATAAAATATATAACTAGATCACTATACTTGAAAACACGATATACATTTGAATGATATTTGACTTCAATTATCGAATATCAATTAAAATGATGATATAGAATTTTACATTTCCATGAACTGATTATAAATGTAAGCCACAAGAATGCCGTATACTCCTGAAGTCTACAAAAGTTGGAGTAAAAGCAACGAAAGTATAATCCCTGACTGCTGTCCTAGTTCATGCAGAATATATGTGTGAAGGTGTTCCAGGAATCACAAGAACGAGTCAGTCATCCTTCCGGCTGATTGAAGAACCAAATTCCGTCTAGCTAGTGCGTCACGTAATTTTTTCCTGGGCCCAAATGGTAGCCCAAGATCTTTAAGTTCTGCGTCCGTCATAGAGGTCAGGAGCGACATGTCGATTTTTTCCTGAGCGAATATGTGCAAGTAGCTGGCCAGTCCGCACGACCACAGGAACATGTTGACCGCAGACAGCTCGTTAGCGTCTTCCTCGTCGTCGTCAAGGTTACCGATGTCGTCTTGGTCCCAGGGGAGCGTCTTGCCCGCCCCGTCGTCCCCCTCGCGCTGGGAGTCTTCCTTGAAGTACGACGACCTCAGATGGTCGTCATCGAGGTCGTCAGGGGAGACGACGGAGCGGTCGTCGAAGGACTGTAAGGTGTTGATGAAAGGCGTCTTGCCAAAGAAAGCGATTTTACCAAACTCTGGCCGGTTGAAGATACCAGGCCCGTTCTCGTCGTCTTCCTCTTCGCCGTTGTAACTGTCTACACCTGAGTCAGCCAGCAGATCCGACTCACTTTTGGCTCTGAAATTGTAAGGTATAAGGTTTAAAGATAAAGGGAGGGTATTATACACAGCTTAACTAAAGCAAATATTTCTCGAGTTGTCTCCCGTACATGCGTGTTGATTCTTGAAATTTTTTTAGACATTTTTCTAATTTTAATTTAAAAAAAAAACAACAACAATCGAATACAGTAAGATCTAATGCAGTAAAAAAATGATAAAATTATATAATTTATATCATTAGTTTAAAGTAGTTTACTGTCATAAGTCATGTAATTTACACATCAGATCACCACAGCTTGGACTAAAAGATTCCCAAGGAGTATTGTATTTTTTAAACCAACAACAAATAGTTAAGTTCAGATGGTCAATAATTCAAATGCAGCAAATTTCATATGTTCCTTTTAATCTGACATATGAGGGGATTGTGTTCAGCCATGTCCGCGGCCATCTTTACCTACCCTGCCTTCAATCAGGTACCCGTCACAGACGAGTGGATTTAGTGACGCCTTACAGCACTAGCTTGTAAAACTCAACACTTTCGGGCAAGAAACCAAGTGCTCTACTACTCGGACACACCGTGCTGGTTTGAAACCAATTTTGAATTATTTAATCATAACCTTGTCGTACAGCTCCAACTAGCAGCCGATCGCCTAATCAAATGATAATTAGACCGAGGTGCAACTTTACATTCAAATAATCTGTGATTTGGGTAGTGGAGCAGCTATACAAGATGCCATTATGTAGATAGTAGCTTAGCTTAGTGATATCCCAAAAACATTGAGTCAAATTAAATTTAAAACTATCGCAAAATTAAGCCATATTAGACTTAAAACTGTCACAAAGCATCCAGCCATATTAGACTTAAAACTGTCACAAAGCATCCAGCCACATTAGACTTAAAACTGTCACAAAGCATCCAGCCATATTAGACTTACAATTTTCCCAAAACATTGAGCCACATTAAAACTAAAAGCTTCAGTTTACCTGTAAACGTTGTTCCCTTTGTAAAACGTATCAGCAGAAATGGACGGCCTTTTGTTGGTGTTCTCCTGGCCGGGCGGCTCCCTGTTGGCGGTCATATACATGACCTCTGACGTCGACCCCCTGTAGAACTGCCCAGTGTTGTACGCCCTGAGGCTCCTGTTGTCAGAGTCTACCCCCGGGGTCAAGTTCTCCAGACGTTTCATCTGAAGCTTCTTGGCCAGGCCTTTGGAGTTGCCAGTCGTCATGGAGAAATCCGAATACTTCCTGTTGGAGAATGGCACGTCTTGTTTGGATGAGCTAACGGTGAGTGGCGACCCCTTCATCCTGACCGACAAGCTCTGGAAGAAAGATTTCTTCCTGGGAGCATTCACTTCTCTGTCGGCTGACTCCTTGTGTAGCTTCTTCTGCTCCTTCTCGGCCCTCTTGGCTGCGAGTTCCTGCAGCTTCTCGTAGCGTTTGATGTTGCTCTCTGCGGACTTAATGGCCTCTTCCTTGAGCTTGGAGACCTGGCGAGGGTTTTTGCTCTGCCTCTGGGCCAACTCGTTGTCCAGGAACCTGATGGAGAAATGTACACGTCTTACACACGTCGCTACATATCAGAGGTGTAATGGGTGGGTCAAAGATCAAAAGAAGCGGTACAAATCTCCTGACAAGATGTGTATTACTGACGAGGTGCTTGGGACCATGTTTCAAACAGACTCAGGTAAATTACGGCTCTTCGAAGTAGATAGGTCTATAGCAAGGGAAGATTTGTTACATTTTCTTCAGAAATGTCTTTTACATTAGTTGTTTAACTTTCATGTTTCTTTTAAATTATGTTATTTACTATTGGCGTTTCTTTTAAATTGTATTATTGAATTTTAAATTTTGTTATTGGCTATTGATATTTCTTTAAAATGCGTAGTTGACAATTGATTTTTCTTAAAAATTATGTTATTGACTATTTTTATTTCAAACTAATTCATTACTGATATTTCTTTTAAAATTTTTTATTGATTATTGATATTACTTTTAAAAAGTGTTTGGTTTTCTTAAAATTGGTTGTTTTTTTTTTTTGGCCTTTGATAAAAACAAGGTAATTAAAAAGTCTAGTGACAATTTTAGCGCAATTTCCTTATCTAAAAATAGCTCTGTCGTAGTAAAACCATTGGTTAGTTATTAAAACGTTTTTTATTAAATTTTTTTTCAGTATTTTACATGTTTTATTTACAATAGAGTTACATGACCATTGCGCGCCTACTAAACGTGATGGCGCAGCCATTGAACGCGATGGCGCAGCTATTGAACGTGATGACGCGTGTGGTGTGGTTGGAAAAAATGCCTACTAATTCGGTCCAAATTTTAATTAATTCAAAAAAAATTTTGTAACCGAACGAACGGATATTTTTGAAAACTTTCTTCGGCAATATTGTTCTAAATTATGGCAGAAATCGATTGGTACATGTTTCAAGTCGCTAAGTGGTCTGTTTGCCGAGATATGGGCCAAAAACTGCTTTTTTTCGAGGTTTTTTGGCTTTTCCGGGAAATCCATGAAAGAAACCCGGAATTTTTATGGCCTATGTTCATTCTCGTAATTTGCTTAACATAATTGCTTTTGGAACTAGTCATCGATATTGCTTCGTTGAGGAGGAGATACGACTTAAAGCTGCGGACACACATCCATCCATCCATCCATCCATTCATACATTCATACATCCAGAAATGACGGGTTAATAAACGCAATTCTCCAGAATGGAAATTGCGCTAAAAAATTAAAATTGAGGTGTTTTTTTTGGCTTTTCATACGTCTTTTGAATTGCGTTATTCATATGTTCATATATTTTTTTTGGCTTTCGGTAGTCTTTTAAATAATGTGTCTAGCTTTTGGTAGGTCTTGTACAAATTATTTTAAAATTTTTGATAGATGTTATCAATGCATGCCGTGTGGGGCAGAATAAAAGTTCTAATTAACGAACTTTATCAATCTTGTAATGAAAATAATTTACCTGACGATCTCATGCCTGTCGTTTATGGAAGCAAGGTCAAGCGCCGAGTGAAGGTCATTGTCAAGGGCGTATATGTTGCATCCCCAGTTGACCAGGTAGCTGACCACGCCCATGTGCCCTCGAACAGCGGCGTGATGCAGGGCTGTTAGACCCAAGTAGTCGGCCTTGTCCACGTCACCTCTGTTGACGACACAGTAGGGAAACGTTAGTGAGACGCTGTCAGTGGGAGACCCGGGGGAGAGGGGAAAATGGTTAAAGCTCGGGGGTCGGTGTGGTCGAGTCGGTAAAGCTCATGGTTGCTCAACCGAAAAGTCTCGAGTTCGAACCATGAGGCAGATGAGTCTTGTTGGGACAGTCACTCTTCTAGGAGAGACAACTCCAAAATCAAACAACTGCTGTCTTGTAGTTTGTTCTTTGTTGGACAAAGGCTATGGAAGCAAATCCAAAAAGAAAAGCAGGCTGAAATCGGATTCAAAGGCCTCAATAGCGTATATAACCAGTTGACACGTATACTTAATTGTGTTGAAAAGGGGTCGACGTAAAGCGCATGGTTGCTAAATCGAAAAGTCTCGAGTTCGATCTCTTCCAACACCAAAAATTAAGAACGAAGAAGAAGAGATTAAATCTCGTAATTTTGGTCTCTATTGTCTTATTGGTGCTACTCAGCTTGACAAACGTGGCCCAGATATGAAGATTTGCTTTCATGAGTTTCTAAAAAATAATGTTTATAATACATTTAACTTTTTTTTTTACTTTCAACCTCCCCCCCCCCCTTACTTCTATACACACCCTTGTTAAAAAAGATTTCCAGGACGCCCATGATGTCGTTTGCTGTATGACACAATATCAGAATAAACACATTTACAAGGTAGGTGATTTCATGGCACCTTCTTTATTATACATGGCCAGCGTCAAATGACACGTGATGTCAAGTTTTGGGACCTCCGGTGCTACATGTCACAAAGTGACAATGTCAACTTGTTACGTGTCATCTTGCCACAGTGACATTGTCTACAAATGATGTGTCAGCGTGATTATCAGCGTGATACCAATGTTGACGTGACATTCTTACATCGCTCAGTTAAATAAATTGTTTCTTATCTGAGGCTTTCAAAAACATTTGTGTTGGGGGTAGCTATATTTCTGTGGTCGGGGTGGCTAGTTCTAGGGGGTGGCTATTTACATGGGTGTGGGGTGGGGAGGCTAGATATATTGGTGCGGGATGGGGTGGCTAGTTATATTGGTGTGGGCTGGGGTGGCTAGTTACATGGGTGCGAGAGGGGAGCCCAGTAACGAATAAATAGTAATTCCCAAATGTTTGTGTTACTAGTTCAAAAGTATCCAAAGTTCTAGTGCCCGTTAAGAATAGTGTCACACTTATCAAAACATGAGCTTAAACCTTAAAACGTCCTATGCTGAAGCTAACATTTTAACCTGCAAAATGGTAGTTTCATCGGAGACAACAAAACTGACTTTTGATATATGATTCAGTGTTAGATCAGCAATGTGTTAGTCCTGCTTTAACCGCTAGTTGATTTAGATGTCGTCTTTGTGGTTGATCAAAAAGATTTAATCGTTTTGTTATGTATAGGTTTCATCTACCAAGTAGGACAACAAAATATGTATTCGAGGCAATATTAAGGTTTATTGCAATAGTCTACTAGAACAGATCCTACTATTGCTGGGTACGTACTAGAGCTGAGTGCACTCCGATTTCTAAATTCAAAATTGAATATCACATATCAAGTCAGTTTAGGGAGATCGGGGGAGGGGGGTCGACCGCATCAAGGGACACAAAACCTAGTGCCGCCACAAATATGTTCTTCTGTCGAGATGATAATTGACAAGTATACAAGCATGCGTGTATGCAAGCAGATAAAAGCCAAGTACTGTATGTAGGTGCGTGTTTATGCTGATACTTGACAAGTACACATCCGCCTGTTTGCCGAGAACACTTGAATGTTATCAGTTTCTTGTGGCTGGAGTGGGGATGACGGTGTGGACGACACAGACAAGGAAGCAGACAGACGATTATCTAATCTGTCACCCAACTGCCGGCCAAGACGTGTCGTCTGTGGTTAGGGAAGTGGCCAAGACGTCTCGCCTGTGGTTAGGGAAGTCTGGCCAAAGACGTCTGGCCTGTGGTTAGGGAAGTGGCCAAAGACGTCTGGCCTGTGGTTAGGGAAGTGGCCAAAGACGTCTGGCCTGTGGTTAGGGAAGTGGCCAAAGACGTCTGGCCTGTGGTTAGGGAAGTGGCCAAGATGGCCGTCAACAGACGGGCCATTTTACCAACAAGGAAGTGTGAAGGCAGTTAATTAATTAATTATCTAATCAGTCGACTGGAGTAAGACGTTTCACTATGTCAGATACCTAACATTACCACTGCGAACGTTAAAGAGACTTATTTTATAAAAAACATGTTTGTATTTACTGACCACACTTCTCGAGTTCAAACCCTCTGGCAGATAAGGCTCGATCCCTCCCAACACTAAAAATTAAGAACGAAGAAGAAGAAGAAGACTGACCACACTATATCAGATGGGTCATTCAAGAATGACTTCATGCTTTTAAAAAGATGTTTACCTCTTCCCCCTCTCTCCCTAAAGTCACTCATGGTCATAAAGTCAGTCCTCTCCTCTTTTAAAATAACTTCACGCGGACTTATTATAAGGTTGTGAAAGACTGACCATACCATATAGAAACACACTGATCGTACCAAAAACCGAGCATAACCATTACACACACAAACGAACTGTATCATACAGAAACGATCAAGCCCTTAAAAAAAAACGAACTTTTATAATTAAAACAAAAAAAAATAGAAGAAATTATGTAAAAAAAAAAGATTGATGCTATTTTAAAACAGAACGGAGCCCGATAACTGACGTTACAACTTAAGCTGACTACCCAACAACCACTAAGCTACCACTGAACCGGCCACTCGTAATTTTTTTATATTGAACCATCCGATCAAGAATTAACACAACACGCCAGCTGATGAAGATTAAAGGGAATTAAGACTGCACGTAGAGAATACAGGATTAGTTAATGATTGTAGACCAAACCCTAACCCTAACAAACCATCGCATGAGCCATTCGACTTAGCGCCTCAATGGTTTTCATTGACTGTGAAAGGTGTGTAACACAAAAGTATCGACACATCAACAGCTGGGTATCGATTATCCAATCAGACATTTTTGGCCTTTCCAATTTATTCGATACAAGTCGGTCAATAACCTGATTCTATGGGTACTCGTACTCGCAAATTTAGGCAGTTATGGATACTTTTCATGGGTAATGGCTTACAACGATACTATTCAGTCTGCGATACTAAGTTACTAACACGTTAGTAGTCAGTGAACGATACTACTTTATGAATACTGAAACTTCTCCGATACTAGTCAGACAACGGTACTACAACATAATTACTCAAACTTGCACGATACCAGTCCTCCAACGATACTACAATATGGTTACTCAAACTTGCACGATACCAGTCCTACAACGATACTACAGTACGGTCATTTAACCACATTAGCATTACCTAAAGGTTTCTTAACCAAACTTAGACTAAGTCCAACCACATTAGCATTACCTAAAGGTTTCTTAACCAAACTTAGACTAAGTCCAACCACATTAGCATTACCTAAAGGTTTCTAAACCAAACTTAGACTAAGTCCAACCACATTAGCATTACCTAAAGGTTTCTTAACCAAACTTAGACTAAGTCCAACCACATTAGCATTACCTAAAGGTTTCTAAACCAAACTTAGACTAAGTCCAACCACATTAGCATTACCTAAAGGTTTCTAAACCAAACTTAGACTAAGTCCAACCACATTAGCATTACCTAAAGGTTTCTAAACCAAACTTAGACTAAGTCCAACCACATTAGCATTACCTAAAGGTTTCTAAACCAAACTTAGACTAAGTCCAACCACATTAGCATTACCTAAAGGTTTCTAAACCAAACTTAGGCTAAGTCCAACCACATTAACATTACCTAAAGGTTTCTAAACCAAACTTAGACTAAGTCCAACCACATTAGCATTACCTAAAGGTATCTAAACCAAACTTAGGCTAAGTCCAACCACATTAGCATTACCTAAAGGTTTCTAAACCAAACTTAGACTAAATCCAACCACATTAGCATTACCTAAAGGTATCTAAACCAAACTTAGGCTAAGTCCAACCACATTAGCATTACCTAAAGGTTTCTAAACCAAACTGAGGCTAAGTCCAACCCAAGACTAAGCTTTAGCTCTAAGCACTGACGCTAAGTCTATTAATTATTGAAACCAACCCTCGCTCGTACGTAAATACTTTCAATGGCGTTACTCAGCCGAGTGACACCCTAGGAGGTTCACACCCCCCTGCAACTGCTTTGTGACGAAAGTATGTACGGGCATCTTATAATCTGGGAAACATACCAACTGGTTCTATAAACACAAAGACCTAATTTAAACCGAAATACCCTTGTTTTTCCTGGGGGTTCGCCTACAAAGCAGATCATAGAGTAAAAGTAAAATGACACCAGAACAATGTTAATCAACTTGGTTTTATTTTTCTCGCTCCGTGACAGACTGCACGAGGTGTGACGTAGCTCAAGGGAGAGCAGTATAAAATATTTACAGACGAAAGGTGTGTGGGGTATGAGGGGGGAGGAGAGTGGTTTTATATTACTTTTTTCTGTGCTAATTCTGTTTCAAAGGAGTTCAATTGAAGAATTCTGCTTCCATACATAAAAAACTTGAAAAATAATAGAAGGAAATGTAGCACAAGTAAATAATTCAATGTTTATGATTAGATCCGGAGTTTAGAAGGTGTGTTCGCTGTTTCTAATATAACATACATATCTTATCTTCTCATAGAATTAAGTTAATAGAATGAAGTTAAAATAAAATCACATAAGAAGTTTATTCGCTTTAATTTTTGTCCTGGCATTACAAAAATCTGTTAGGGGATGTAAGTCTTTCTTTGGGGAGTAAGTCTGTGAATGGGGGATTTACCTTTGTCAATGGGATGTGGAAAAGTCAAAGGGGGGGGGGGGTAAATTTTGTCAAGAGAAAGTGATGTACAGCCGGCTATTTTACTGGAACTGATAGTTAAATAGGAAATATACCATAAATGGGCAGCTCAGCAGGAAATATAAAAGGCGGTTGGGCATAGTACTGACCGCGCTATACCATCATATGTCAAGGTCACAGAAACAGGTGAACTCTATTTCATCGACCCCGTGGACGACTAAGTTCAAAGAGCTTACATTAGAACTGAAGAGAAACTATACCATGAGATGAGAGCACTTGAAATCTTCGCCCCCCCCCCCCCCCGGAGAGATGCCTGGAAGAAACTCTGACCACAAATTAAAAGTGAATGACAGACTGGATTACACCAGGTAGGCCCTATATCTCACAAATACTAGACCACAAATCGAACAAATTCAGACCAGACCACAACTGGACGGACTGAAAGCGATCTCAAACACCAGATCGATTCAATCACGGGAATCGCCTGGTTCAATAATCGATATCAATCTGATCGCAGCGTACCCAATCGATGTAGGGCGGAGCAATTTTTGGGGACAATAAACAAAATATAACACATTGTTATGGCCGTTGAAAACTATTCAGGACAGAAACCAAATCTGGACACATTATTATGGCAGCTAAAGTATTTATGAGAAACTGACCAAAAGCAAGACAGAAACCAAATATGGACAAAGTGTTATGGTAGCTTTAGCATTTTTGAGAAACTGACCAAAAGCAAGACAGAAATTAAATCTGGACACATTACGATAGCTAAAACTGTTACTGGATAATTGTTGGACACAAAAACAACAACACAAAAATAGAGAAGATGATGTTAGAGGGTAGGCCTACCAGATGGACATCACCCACCGACATGCTTATGTGTTTTAATCTTCCGTCCCCAACCTCTTTTACTAGCTTTGCCCTCGCATCTTAGAATGATTGATTTACTTATTCTCTATCACTGCCCCTCTCCTGAATGTTATTCTACATACTGTCGCCCTCTCTCAAACCCCACTTCCACACGCCTTAAGATGATTTCTGTACCTTCTCTTTACTCCAACCTCGCCTCTACGAATTATTGAACGAGCTGTAAATAATCCTTTCACTACCATTCCCACGGAAGAGGATTATTTTATTTAATCTCGTCCCCCCCCCAACCCCACTCCCCAAAGGCTACTCCCGATCTCCATTAAGCCTCTGAACTTCCAATATCTCTCAAATTTCAGCATATGTACATACTCTTGACCACAAAAAAAGACTTATCACGTTCTTCCCGCCGTACTCTCCATACACCCCGCAACACCTCTTCCCCCAAAAGAAATCGCAAGTACTCACCCTCTGCCCTCATATCCTACATACATCCCACCCCAGAAAGAAGACCCGTGGATCTACTCACGTCCACCACACCATCCATACAACCACCCCATACCCCCAAACACCCCCAGAAAGAAAACTTGTGCAACCACTCACGTCCCCCATACCCCCACCCCCAGACCCCCCCCCCCCCCAAGCAATATCATGTACTCACTCACGTCCCCCATACACCCACAACCCCCCACCCCCAAATCCCCACCCCCCAAAAGCAATCTCATATACTCACTCACGTCTCCCATACGCCCCCCAAATCCCACCCCCAACATCCCCATCCCAAAAGAAAACTCGTGTACCCATTCACTTCCACCATACACCCCAACCCTCCCCCCCCCCCCCCCCGCCAACCCCACACCCAAAAAAGAAAACTAATGTACTCACTCTCGCCCCACTATCAGCCTGAGCGCCTCCAAATTCCCGGTGTGGGCCGCCCAGAGTGTTGCCGTCATACCATCCTCATCCGGGGTGTTCAGATCCTTCCTCGTCGCCTCCCTCAGCAGATCAATGTACCCATCCTTCGCCGCGTTGATGAACCTCTCCGCCATCTTGGATCAACTCTTCATCTGTCCACAGAAAAAACAAAAAGAAAAATGGCCGGTATGTTTTTTATTTAAACTTCTTTCTACACAGCTCTCCAAGATTACACAGCCGCAGTATTGTTTCGTGTCACAGATAACACAGTAGTAGTTTTTAAATTAGTTCATTTCATTACAAGTCCGCACGCAGTAGCTGATAAACTGATAAAGGCTTGCAAAAAAAAAATCTTATCGACTGCTACAAAGGCGCCTGCAGTGTGCGGTTCGCTTAGTTGTCAAGTTTTTGTGTCCAATAGTTCGTTGCAATTATTATTATCAAAGAACATTGGGTGTTGGTGAATATTTATGAATGGTCAGCAGTTTTGCCAATACGGCTATGAAATACAATTCTAGGAAAGGGCAGATTAGAAAGAAAAAAAACAGAAGGGGGGGGGTGTAACCTTGATCAGAGAAAGGTGAAGTTAGAGATTATGTAACCTTGATCAGAAGTGATGAAATTAGAGATTATCAGGGGCGGTGCCACTTCGACAGATTGGCTGATGGTGTTGATATGTTTGGGTTGAAAACATGGATCTCGGAGTGATAACAGTAAAATATTTTAGATCAATGCGGCATAAAATACCCTAAACAATTATTTCCTAAACACTGCTGCCCTAAACACCTATATCCTAAACACCCATGCTCTAAACACTTTCCTCCTAAGCATTCATGCTCTAAAAATGGGTCCTGAAAATTTCTATCCTAAATGTTTCTGCTGTACACACAAAAAAATGCAGTTGTTTTTTTAAAAAACAAAACATTGCAAATTAGGATAGAATTGCGAATTATGTTGTTAACGTTTACTTTTTGAGGCTGTCCATACAACGGCATCACATTCAAAGAGGGGAGGGGGAGTGGGGGTTTGGACTTTTGTGACGATGTGTGACAAGAAGGAGGGAAAGTTCAGAAAATGTAACGATACACTTTTATATTTTATATTTTTATTATTTTTATTTTTGTAAGTTGTAATTAAAAAAAAAATAACCAAGCTAATCAATTTTAACCGAGTTCAGTAAATATTAAAATAAAATCACGGTTTTAAATTACAAAACTGCAATTTTAAGGGGGGTAGGGGGATGGTAGGATGTGCTGTGACGTCATTTTGATTGTGAGGTTCTGGCTTTTTATGACTTGTGACGATGTGTGAAGATGTGTGACGATGCGTGACTATGTGTGACGATGTGTGACGAGGTGTGACAGGGTGTGACGAGGTGTGACGGTGTGTGACGGTGTATGACTGTGTGTGACGGTGTATGACTGTGTGTGACGGTGTATGACGGTGTGTGACGATATGTGACGACGTGTGTCAATGGAGAGACGGAAAGTATTAAATCGTCGATTCAGTGAAATCGTTGATGGACGACCCTTAATTAAAATATTTTAAGTAGAGACTCCAAAATCCAACTCAAAATTTGCCTACTTTAACCTAGGCTAAAACAAATGACCAATTGACCTTTAATGGTCGAGTAGGTTCATTAACTTACACTCATACACCTGTGACATGGTTTTAGTTTTATACCTGTGTAGTCAGGTGGGCCTCATTCGGTGATCAAATTATTGAAGCGTGTGACCCTTCAACCCCCTGCACCCATTGTCTTAGCAGATATATTGTTAAGCTCGTGTCATACAATCCGATGACTTGACCCCCCCCCCTCCCTCACCAAGTTTGGAGGAGGATGTGACATGCTTCAAGTGGATTTCATGACTTGACTACAGTGTGTGAGGCGGAGGAAGGAGGGGGGGGGGGTCATACTCACAAACATACATACACAGGAAAGTTCATGTAGTATTAAATATGAGTTAATCAGACTCTGTGTGTATCAGTTAGTGTGTGTGAGTGTGTCACAGTTTGTGTATCAGAATGTGTCTGTGTATATCAGCTAGTGTGTGTGTGTATCAAAGTGTGTCTGTGTGTAGAACATGCATGAGTGTATCAGACTCTCTGTATCAGTTAGTGTGAGAGTGTGTCAGAATGTGTGTTTGTTTACGTATATGCGAGAATCGTGTAATACATAACGACATTGATCTAAAAATAGCTCGAACCGGTTTATCCGTGTAATTTCTTATTGTAAGAAATAGCAGGCAAAATGCGTCGGACGATAAAGAGTTAAAGATCTTATAGATACGCTTAATTTATGTCGTTGTACCCAGTGATCTCCACTAATCCTTAATCCACTGAGTACGGTGCAAGGGACACAGTGTTTCTTTCAGTCATCCCTCGGGAAGAGATTTGGGGGGGGGGGGATGTCAAATACTTAAATTACAGTTTAAATAAATAGTCTATGTGAAATGAGAAATAACTGCTAGAAATCAATTTCCAAAAATTCTGTTTAATACAAGAATGCGGAACGTCATACTTTCAGACCCCCCCCCCCCTCGTCGCGTATCGTAACAATCGTACCCATCATTCTCTCCCTCCCCCACACACACATAATTTTTTAAATCGCCGCCCCTTTACCATCCCCCCCCCCCCTCAATAACTTCATTATAATACAATCCCCTCAATAATTAAGCGGGTCATCTTAAAACTAACATGTATTTTTTGAACCACTTTGAACTGTTGATAATCTATTGTGGAATATAGTCTACCAATGACTGTTTCCCCGCATAATTGCTCTTTATGATTACCGTTCTTTTTCTTAGTTTGAACAATACAGTTGGGTCATTTTTCCCTTCTCAGTTTTCAATCAATCCGCTTGACTGGGATAATCGAATCCAACACAAATCGATACCGGCTTGATATGCCGCTAGTGTAAATATGAATGCACTACTGGATTCGGTTGTGTTATGGAGAGTACAAATACTGGCTGACGGATTTTTAGTTTTTTAATTAAACAATCCGGTTTTTTCTTTGTACAGGATTTTGTAGCAAAGATTTCTGTCTAATAAATACAGGGGTGTCTATGTGCCTTCTATCAAATATACAAGAGCGTCTCTCATCCCTCAATGAAATATATTTGGGGCATCGCTTAGCTTTCTAACAAATAGGTCTATATACAGGGGCATAGCCCCGCTTACTATAAAATTTATACAGGTGCGTCTTTCATCATCTATTAAAAATATACGGGGGCTCCGATCGGCCTTCTATTAATTATATACAGGGGCGTTTCTCAGTCTTCTATCAAATACTTAGAGGGGCGTCGCTCAGCCTTCTATCAAATATATAAAGGGCGCCCCACAATCTTTTCTTAAATATATACGGGGGCGCCGTTCAGCATTCTATCAAATAAATGCAGCTCTTCTCTCCGCCTTTTCTGAAATACAGAAGTGTTAATCCAACATAGGCATCAGTTTGTATCGATACATATGTAGGCCTACAAGGGGATCAGTAAAATATAAATGTAAACAAGGACTAAGACCATCATGAAGGGTGTACCTAGAAACCTGATTACAAGACAAACGACGGCTTAGACTAGCCTTAGACCATGTATAAAAGTTCTTCACGGATGGGAGGTTATAGAAGAAGCTTTTATTTTAAAACAAATGGGTTTTTTTTTACATCAAGTAGACTTAAATTTTATAAAACGATAAGGATAACTAACGAAACAGTATAAATTGCTCAATATGACTTCGTATAGGAACATTACAACCAGGGTAAATATAGTGTGATTTATTTTTAAAACCCGCAAAAGATGAAATAAATATTGCGCAATGTGCTATGATTTTTATCTAACACGAAAACAAAAGTAGGCCTACACGTGACAACCTTTAGGGCATGAAAGTCAATTTATTGTTCTGTTGATTTCTCGATGTTTCTAAAAAAAACGCATGCTTTGATATTTTTAGTTAGTCTGCATATCGATAAAGCATCTATTGTTGTTTATTGATCACCATGCTAACATATCGCTCTTTCGTCGGCCAACATATCCAAACTATTGAACTACACACTTTATCAGAATATCGTTCAAGCTATTGAATTACACGCTTTATCAACATATCGACCAACCTATTGAACTACACACTTTATCAACATATCGTACAACCTATTGAACTACACACTTTATCAACATATCGTCCAACCTTTTGAACAACACACTATCAACATACCATCCTACTTATTGAACTACACACTTTATCAACATACCTTCCAACCAATTAAATTACACACTTTGTTAACACTCCTCTGTTAAATGGGGAAAAAAATCATCCCATGTAATAAAATAAACCGGTAGTGATCTCCCCTAAACTTTCTCGAATATTCTTATATAAAACAACAGGGGATGGTAACTGGGGATATAGTTATGATTTTTAATCCATTTTAAATACTTAAACTTTTAAAAATAGAATAGAATCTCATAAAAAAAACATTGCGCACCAAGCAAACGCCGAATAAAAACGCGTATAATAGTGCGCAATATTATTAGTACTTTAAAAATTTACATTAGTTTTTTGAGAAATCGGAAGTAGCGTAAATTACTACTTCCAGTCAACGGAAATTACTCAAAATTTAACAGAAGGTAGAGAATTAGATCTTTTACTTACATGTGAAATTTCATTTATCTATCTGAAATAGTACTCAAGTTATAGGCTTTTAAAAAATTCAAAGTAGGAAAAGTACCACTTCCGGTTATCGGAAATCGCTCAAAAGTTGATACGGATCTACGATTTTGATAAAATACTTATATATGAAATTTCATCAACCTAGCTGTAACGGTACTTAAGTTATCGTGTTTACACACGGACAGACAGACAGACAGACAGACACACACACACACAGACATACGGACAAGATTGCAAAATTATGTTTTTCCGTATCAGTGAGGTGTAAAACGTCGAGATTTGTAAAAATCTCGATTTTTTTTTTTTGCACGATTACAATACTTTCTCTATACTACGTATATACGAGAAAGTAAAAAACTAAATCCTTTTATTTTGTGGAGGATTAGTAAGGATTAGGCCTAGATTTTAATCGATAAACGACATACAATTCACACACACACACACAACTACCCACACAGGTAGCCTACAGTTGGGGGAGTGCTCAGCAC